CAGTCCAGGATCCGCTCACCTGGACCAGAGTCCGAATCGGTGCTGTTCTCCCATCTTGAGGAAACATCTCTGAAACTTTAGATGGTTGGTCTGACGGTAAGTTTGCTTTTTCCATATTTCCAACCTGTTTTCTTGATGTTTGAGACATTTAGTCTAATTCCAGTTTAAGTTTTAATCTCTTTCTGCGTTTCTGATTAAAACCTGCAACATTTTCACAGTGAAATTTCATTTATATCACTCAGATGATGGATCCTATATTCAGCTTTGTTGCATCTCATCATCTGTTCTGATTATCCTGCAGATCTTTGGTCTGTGGTTTTATTTACCGTAAAGTTTATTTCTTGAGTCTCTTTCCTTGTAAAAAAGAAGGAAAGCGAAAAGAGACGTCCAACCATTGAGTTATTTTGATGCAGTGATAGCGCCACCTCCTGACAGTTTTGGCAGAAAAGTCTTTTTTGTGTCTGTTGCTCTCTTAATGTTCGGTCACTGCTACTTTTTATTTTCTCACTAAAACACAAACAGCTGGTTGTTAGTAGATGGATATTAAAGAGTTGATAAAAACGTTTAAACTGAAGATCTTTACATTTTAACATCTGTATCACTTTGACTGGAATCAAAACAGACCCGGTTTAATTGTAAATGTATTGTGGAGAGGAAGCAGCCTGACGTCCATCTCTGAGCCGTTCAGAGAATTAGTTTTTACCGGTTTAATGATAAACTAAATGTGGATTTTCTTGTTAAATGAAAGAAGTGAAGCAGACTGACTGCTGTAGAAAGTGGATCTGTAATTCATGCTGGAGCCAAAATATTAAAGGCTCTCATACTAATTAAAAGACAAATGCATAATTTACACAATTCTGGGGTCAAATGTCATTCTCAGCAACAAATCAGGGAATGGGTCACTGACCTCTCAGTCAGATTGTTACTATTGTTTAAAACTCATTCAAGGTTTAAATAGAGAAAGAGGCTTCAGATCTTATCTCATGTTATCTCTGGTTTTATTTTATATTTGATTTTATATGTGTGTATATATAAAATACATATTTCATATATGCACATGTTTTCGTATGAAATGGTTTATCATTACATCTGATAACGATAAACCAGATGTAATGAATTAAGGAAAAACTGAATTCATTTTGAACATATTTTGATAACTATTAAGGTTTTCCTGCATTTTGGTGGTCTGAGGATTAGAGATGCCCCCTGCTGCTTTCACACGCTGATCTGACTGAAGCTGAAGCCTCAAAGTGAATCAGACTAACCATGGATCAGTGGCGCCACTTAGTGGACGGGTGCTGATGATGAACAGAAACCAGGAGCCAATCAGAGGAGCAGCTGATCTATGGAGAGGAATAATTATATGTATTGGATCTAGTGGTGTTACCATGCAGATGAATGATGGGAGTTTCCTGTGCAGGTGAATGCAGGAAGTGTGTGTGAGCTGGTGTGAACTCAGCGTTATGGATCGGTGTGGAGAACATGAGAGCCAGAGCAAAGGTCAGAGGTGAGGTCACCAGCTCTAACTGCTCAATGCAAACCGAGGCGAATGAAACAGGAATAAAGCAAAAGCTAAAATCAGATTGCATGAAAACTCTCTGGGAAATTATCTGCCTGCAATAAAAAAATAAATAACCGGTCAATGTGGATAAAATGTGACAGAATAGATGCAAATGAAGCAGAATGTGGTTAATATTACGGCAGTATAATAGATAATATAATAGAGTCCAGCTAAAGCACCGAGTCATTATCAATAGTTTCTATTGGAATGACAGAAACTTCTGTCCTGAAATTAGAAATATGTGAATAAAAATACCTTTTGCAATTATTAACATTAAAAAATGCATTTTGTTTCATCAGTGACTCAAACTACCTGCATGTGTGAGAATATTATCTCTGACTTCTTCACATGATGCAGGTCTTATGAAATCTGTTTCAATAAAGTTTCATATTCTCTCCTGTTCCAACTACAAAAGCAGCAATAAATCCGCTAATCCAGCATAAAAAGTAACAACAGTTTGTCCCCAGACTCAGCAGGACTCGGATCGGCACTCAGCAATCTGTGATGCTGCAGCTTTCAGATCCGTTTACCTGCCTTTGTTCACCGTGACAGACCAGAACCGGAGCCTGGTGCTGGATCTGACATGGAAACGGACCAGAACCAAAACCCGTCTGTGACCCACCAGCATGACGACCCACAGCGTGTCTGGATTCATCAGACACACTGTGTTTGTTTTTCCAGAAGTTATTAAAGATGATCAATTATATCTCAAATAGTATTTTGTCATAATTGTATGTTTAGAACTTCATCGTTTAAATTTTTCCCTCCAACTTTTATTTCACAGGAGTAATTAATGACATCTTATGCACATTCAGCGTTGCAGAATCACATTTGGGTGAAATGCAGAGGAAAGTCATGAACTGCGATGTTTTCCTGCCAGGATTCATCAGACAGAGAAAACGGAGGAAGAACCTGGAGCCACGTTTCAGAACATTGAGTTCACGTCCAGCCACACTGCGGCTTCAGGGAGGTGAGCTTTCAATCCCTCTGAAACGGATTAGAGGAATATTTGATTTTCATTTTTAGTTTTATTAAAACTCTCTGATGGGATGTTACAGGTTCAAGGTCTGAAGTTTGACTGTAATTTTGTCACTGAAGGAACAAAACTTGATTTGTGTTGACAAAATGTGTCTTGTGGATGTTGTAGGCGTGTATTTGGATGAGTTGCAAATGTAAAGAAGCTCCAGAGCAAATATACGTAACAAAAAATCAAAGAGAGGGAAATAAATGAGCAACACAAACCATGAACTGAACATTCGCCTGAACATTTGTGAGAAAAAGAAACTAAACCGTCTTCAAGAATCTGAATACAATAAAACTAGTTTAATATAAACTTTTTGGGTTATCTGAATAGTTTTGGTTTTCACAGTTATAAAACAGCAGGACACGACTTGGTGCTCGACTCCAACGTTTCTGTTACCTTCAAACCCAGAACTGATCCGGGTCAAAGCTCTCTCCTCTAACATCACACAGAAAACCTCTTTTCTTACCAAAAGGCAAATGACACGAACATCTCAGATGTTCAACAATCATAAAACTTCACATGTGTAGTAGTCAAGCCTCCATCTGTTGGTTGGGAAACACAAACTGTGACAATCTGGTCTGCAGGTCTGAACCTTTAAACAGCCAGAATCCTGTTAGACAGAGCTGACTCTCTTCACTCTCTATTTCTGCAAAGTTTTAATCTATTTATTTCTTCTCATCTGACTCCTGTTGAAGTAAGTTTTTTCCAGGTTTTGAACCTATCTGAAGTTTTGTGTGAAAATGTTCTACAGCTACCGGATAGTTTAAAACTAAGTTTGCTTCATGAACCAGCAGGACAGAGACACATGACCTGCTTCATGATCCGACAGCTTTCACATTGCTTCCTTCTGCTGAGAAAGGTTCTGTATAAACACACTGTACTGACTGATGTTCTGGACTGATATTTGCACATCCTGAAGACGCGCAGAGGAAACAACAGGAGCTAATTATTCGTGGCTCCTCCTCAGAGAAGATGGGCAGACGTCAGATGTTCCCATTGTTCAGTCTGAACAGCAGGATCAGGCACAGCTGGACTCCATATTCATGGTGTGTTCATGTGCAGCTATGCTACATCTGTTCTGTTTCTCCATGCTGCTGTTTATGGACGGAGACTTGTCGCTCTTTTCAGCAGCAGTCTGCCTGAGTTCAGTCTGATGATTCCTTCATATCTGATCCTGTTCCAGATGCTGGAGGAAAACATCATTAGCTTTGTGCGAAACGAGTTAAAGACCATCCAGAGGTTTCTGAGCTCCGACTGTCCAAAACTCGTCGAGGATCAGAGGGAGGATGTGAATGTGTGGGACGGTGATGAAGAGCAGAAGAGAAGCAGCAGAAAAGCTTTTGTGAAAATCACTGCAAATTTTCTGAGGAGGATGAAGCAGGAGCAGCTGGCAGTCGGCCTGCAGAGCAGTAAGATCAGGTTTTTATGAAGATTTGGATGATCGCTAATTAATGGAAGTCATTTACAGAGCTTTGCAAAAGTATCAACACCCCCAAAACTCTTTCCCGTTTCGTCGTCTTACAACATATCACAGTATCTTAGCTGTTTCTACCACTGCAGATGTTCCTGCACGTATTTGTTGGAACCACATGTCCAGTGTGGGGTTCACTTCCCCCAGTGCTCCAATGCCCCTGGGCACTACAGCCACCTTCACCTGCCAGGCCCGTTGCAGCTCTTCCCTGAGCTACAGCAGTTTCTTTCCTCCGTTGCTTCCATCGTTTAGGAAAGCTGCATCGATCACAATGGCTGCCTTCTGCTGCCCATCAAAGATAAAAAGGCTAAATCTTACCAGCACCTTGTCAATAATTCCTTTATATTGATGAAAAACTTACAGTCATTTTATGTCACTTATAAAATTGGGAAAATGTTTTGTTATCAGTTAAATAAATTGTCAATGGAACAAATAATTTTTCATTCATATTAAAGAATTATTGACTTAATCTAAACTCCCATTTCTTGCTGAAAAGTTATTTCTACGTTAGTTTTGTCTTATTCCAAGTCTACTAAGATATTTGCAGTTGAATCTAGACCAAGATTCCTTGGAGATATTTTGTGTTTTGTAATGCAGTCCGTTTGTATCTGAAAGTCTCACAAGATCATTTTATTTCTTTGATGGATACTTCTTAGTTTTTCTTGAGTAAAAATATGCTGAAGTAATGCCACTCCTCCTTGAGGAGGATGTTTTTTATTATTCTCTCCACCTCAGCCCATGTGATCAGGGCAGGTATTGTTTTCCTGAGGAAGATTAATTAGCAGCAGCCTATTAAAATCTGAAAATGTGTAAATTCTGCAAAATATTTTCACCTGAAGTTATTTTAGTTATTTTGATAGTATATGTTCAAAGCTTTTGTTGCTATTGTAATTTTTATTTATCAAGCTTTTCATTTATTCAAAGCAATATTGTGTCCTGCTTTCGACATGTAAAATGTTTTTTTTTCCATCAACAGGAATATAAGTTAGATCCGCTGTCCTGCTTCTCTCCCTCAGTCGTGACAAATCCATAACTCACTTTAAAGAAGAAGGAGGAAGATTTCACGTTTCTTCATTGCGTTGCTTCTTCTTTTTGTCTTTTTCTTGAGGCTGTGTTCAAACTTGAGGGTGAGGGATGGGCACCATGGGGGAAACTGAAGGAGATTCATCTTTTTCTGGAGCAAATTTATGTATTTCTTATCTCTTACCATGCTTCACACATTTTAGTTAAATATGTTGTCATTCTGATTTAATATAGTGCTTGAGCCTGATTGGTGCCTTGTTCCCCTCGGCCTCTTGGTGCCCTACTCACAATGCGTTGGGGCATTATGAACTACAGTATTGTGTTTATACAATCCCAATAAAAATTTTGCAGTTGTAAAGTGACAACTTATAAATGGTTCAAGAGCTACAAATACCTTTGAAAGGTATTTAGATGATCTCTGTTAAAGAAATACAGATGGGAATTATCCTAATTATGTTTTTATGATTATTCAGAACATGGTGTTGCTGTTTGTGAGCCCAAACATAAAGCAGCTCTGAAGAAGAAGTTCCAGTCTGTGTTTGAGGGAATCACTAAAGCAGGAAGTCCAACCCTTCTGAACCAGATCTACACAGAGCTCTTCATCACAGAGGGAGGGACTGGAGAGGTCAACCAGGAACATGAGGTCAGACAGATTGAAACAGCATTCAAGAAACAACACAGACCAGAAACAACAATCAGACGAGAAGACATCTTTAAAGTCCCACCTGGAAGAGATCAACCAATCAGGACAGTGATGACCATGGGTGTGGCTGGCATTGGGAAAACAGTCCTAACACAGAAGTTCACTCTGGACTGGGCTGAAGACAAAACCAACCAGAACATCCAGTTCATATTTCCATTCACTTTCAGAGAACTGAATCTGCTGAAAAAGAAAAAGTTCAGTTTGGTGGAACTTGTTCATCATTTCTTTAGTGAAACCAAAGGAATCAGCAGCTTTGAACACTTCCAGGTTCTGTTCATCTTTGATGGCTTGGATGAGAGTCGACTTCCACTGGACTTCCACAACAAGGAGATCCTGACTGATGCTACAGAGTCCAGCTCAGTGGATGTTCTGCTGACAAACCTCATCAGGGGAATCTGCTTCCCTCTGCTCTCCTCTGGATAACCACACGACCTGCAGCAGCCAATCAGATCCCTCCTCAGTGTGTTGGCATGGTGACAGAGGTCAGAGGGTTCAATGACCCTCAGAAGGAGGAATACTTCAGGAAGAGATTCAGAGAGAAGAAAGAGGCCAGCAGGATCATCTCCCACATGAAGACATCAGGAAGCCTCCACATCATGTGCCACATCCCAGTCTTCTGCTGGATCACTGCTACAGTTCTAGAGGATGTGATGGAGGCCAGAGAGGGAGGAGAGCTGCCCAGAACCCTGACTGAGATGTACATCCACTTCCTGGTGGTTCAGACCAAAGTGAAGAAGGTCAAGTATGATGGAGGAGCTGAAACTGATCCTCACTGGAGTCCAGAGAGCAGGAAGATGATTGAGTCTCTGGGAAAACTGGCTTTTGATCAGCTGCAGAAAGGAAACCTGATCTTCTATGAATCAGACCTGACAGAGTGTGGCATCGATATCAGAGCAGCCTCAGTGTATTCAGGAGTGTTCACACAGATCTTTAAAGAGGAGAGAGGTCTGTACCAGGACAAGGTGTTCTGCTTCATCCATCTGAGTGTTCAGGAGTTTCTGGCTGCTCTTCATGTCCATCTGACCTTCATCAACTCTGGGGTCAACCTGATGAAAGAAACACAGAATTTCTTGTGGTTGTGGTGGTTCCTTTTCTTTAAGAAAAAGGTTGAACCAGGAAGCTTTTATCAGAGTGCAATAAACAAGGCCCTACAGTTTCCAAATGGAAACCTGGACTTGTTCCTCCGCTTCCTCCTGGGACTTTCTCTACAGACCAATCAGAGTCTGCTACAACATCTGATGTCACAGAGAGGAACTGACACACACACCAACCAAGATATAGTTAAATACATCAAGGACAAGATCAATAAGGATCTGACAGTGGAGAAAAGCATCAATCTGTTCCACTGTCTGAATGAACTGAACGATCGGCTCACCATCGACACTAACACAGTGAACACCTAGAACCCGTCTGCACTGGGTGGCCCAACCAGAGGCATAACTCCTGGGATCACTGGGACTCACACCCCCATGTAGGGGATGTGTGTGTGCACATGTATGTGTAAACCTGTATGAATATTAAGTAACCTATAAATTATGTAAGAAAGGGAGGAAAATCAGAGAGAGAGAAGAAGAAAGTTGTTTTTTAACATGAGGAAATGAGCACAATGTGGTGATAAGAAACGCCTCCACTTGTGAGGTGATAAAATGTATTTTTTAGTTTTTTAAAAAGTTTTCGAGGCTCTAATAAAGTTTTCTAGGCTCCAGTGGTTGAACAGGAAATTGGGAGGAGAGAGAAGAGAATGACATGCAGCACATTCTCCAGGTTGACAAATAAAACCTATAAATAACGTCCTAAACAAAACATAACTTGCAGGCTTAATGTAAAACTGGTTGAAAAATGACTGGATTAGGAATTTCTTAGCCTCTGTTTCTTTTCTTTTATACAAGCAGACAGCAATAAGCTCAACAACACAAAAGTTTTATATTTATCACAAACTATTTATCTAAGAATCGATTTCTTCCTGTAATGGAAATGATTTCTGATTAAGTTCTGTTTCCATACTTTCATGAATTGTTCTTCTTTGTTCCCTTTTCTACACGGTTTTCATGTTAAATTGCATTTTTTGCTAAGTTAGTTTTACTATCTTGAATCTGTTATTCTAAATAAAGACTAACACAAAGGTGACACAGTAACGTTCATTTTGGAAAAAATCAGTTTTTTTCTTATAACAAATAAAACAAACCAGATATAACAACTTTTGGCTTCTTAACAGTCCGGAGTATTAAATTATGATTACAATTATCATCTAATACAGATTTAACTCTAATCTTAATTTAACTTGAACCTGAAAAAGTCCAAATGTGTAAAATCAGCTTTTTGATGTTTGGTGTGAAAAGAAAACCAGGATTCATCAAAGACAAAAAGCTAAATGAACTAAACTTGCCACTCAAAGCTCTTCACACTGCAGCCACATTCACCCACACACACATTTACACACATGCAGGTCAGTGGGCAACTTGCTACTAAGTGCCCTGCCCAGGGGCACTTCAACATGTGGCTGCGGAAGCAGAAATCAAACCTACAACCTTCTGATCACAAGACGACCATCACAGAGTCACAGTCGTCCTAAAAAGCCACTGCACAATCCTTTTGTTAATATTTTCTAAAATACTGATTTAAACGCAGCATAACGAGCTGCAGTTCAGGTCACCTGGTCAGTTTTCTCCTCTGAAGAAACATTTGGGTTTAAATCCGTAAGCAGGGTGTCTTGTCACTGTGAGTTTTTCTCCTGGTAAGCCTGTTTTTGTTGTAAATCTTCTTCCTCGGCTCTCAGCGTGGTGGACAGCAGCAGATCTGCTTTTGCTTTTTGCAGATCATTTCTAGCTTGTTCTGCTTGTTGTTCATCACGAGAGTTGAGCTCCTTGTACAAATCTTTAACATTCTCCAGCCTGGGCAGTCTGTTCTTTGTCTTTCAGGATCTGCATCTCTTCTCTGATGCTGTCGATAATCGCCTTGTCCTCCTCCAATTTCTCCAGATGACTTTTTCTCTCCTCACTTATATGCAGCTCTAATTTTCCAAGTTGTTCTTGACTGGTTTCTTTCACAGATCATATTTTCTTTCTTTTCTTCTGAAAGAGCGTTTCATCCTGCTGTGTCTTGTTCTGGTGTGTTTCAACCTCCTGCTGTAATTCCCAGCTTCGCCACCGGGCGGCGCGGCTGTTAGTGAATAATATTTTGTTTTGTACAAAAGTTGTACATAAAGCTGTTCGGTTCGGCAGACGGGATGTTGCAGGATGGTTTGTTATTGCGTCCATATGAGTTCATATGGTTTCGGTTTCACAATATGTGTGTTTTAGTTTTCTGAAGATATTCAGTTATTAGAGTTTCTTAGAATAAGCTAAGCTAAGCTAACTTCTATCGATATTATGTTTAGTCGCTTTATTTTCCTTTATCTAACTTTTGAAACAGACAGATATGATTATAATATGTTTGTACATGAGGCTCAAACACACACACGCACGCACACACACACGCACGGACACACACACACACACCTTTCCAAACCACCTGCAACCTGCTGACTAAACAAAGACAAACATCACCTGCATCACCTGGACTCCTCATTGGCTCGGGGTCACCTGGGCATCCAGCCGGTAAGAACTCTGTGATCTTCCCTTCTGGACTCCAGCCCTGCAAACAGCAGGATAACATCTGTTCATATTTACTCTTCAGATCCTCATATAAACGTGAAGCTGATTGAATTCGTGTTGTGCTTTTCTCCTGTCTCACCTCCTGCCAGGTCTTTCCATGCTTCCTTCAGTCCAGCTTTCAAAGTTGCGTCTGAATTCATTGTATGAATGTTTGATCTCGTTCAATTGTTTCTGAAACTCTTGTCTTGCAGGGACTGAATCTGTCTTTGTTTCTCGGAGGACATCGTTCTCTGCTCCTGTCATGAAATGAGGGAAGACGAGAGTAGCCATCAACAGTTGAAAAGTCGGGCTTGCTTTATTAGCACGAGCATTCCACTAACAACATGAACATACTCTTATTCGAACTCGTTTATCACTGTATAGTTCTTTAGAGCGCCCCCAGTGGGCAGGAACCCAAGCTGCTGTTACTATAGATAAACAATAGTCTCACAACATCTCCCTTCTTTTAAAGTTAAACATTGGAAGATCCTAAACATCTGCAAGTTAGCTTAATGTTTTAAATGATACTTAAATGGTACATTCTCTAATACAATTAATTACTCAGGTTAGCTTAATCTTTAGCTGTCAATGTCTCTTTCAACAAAGACTTTTTCCCAACATAACTTAGATGTTTTCAGAACAACTTTACCACATTTCCTTTCCTTTTTTTTTTTTTTTTTTTAACGACAAACCTTAACAAATCTCATGCAGAACAATACAGGACATCACAGGGGTAGACTGCCCTCAGCCCTGCTAGGGATTATTATGCCCTTTTGAACCTTATCAGTCTCTGAATCTCAGAGGCAGCTTTATTTCACGTCCCCTGGAAGTTCTTCTCACAGGAGTACTTGGTGGGGAAGAGGACCCTGAAGGAGGGCTTGCTACTGGCTGATTTGATGGTGGTTCAGGTGGAATGGCCACTTCTGTCGCTGGGGATCTGCAGTCCTGCGGTGGTACTGCAGACTCAGCTGCATGTTGTGCTGCAGGAATATCAGTCCCAGGAACTTCCTGAAGGTGGCGTCTGTTGCGACGAGTCACACTCCCATTGGCCATTTCTACGAGGTAGGATCTCGGCTCCTTGGACTTACTGATAACTTTGGCAGGCGATGTCCACCCTTTTTCCCCATCCAGTTTCACTCTCACGTGTTGACCCGGGAGAAGGTCAGAAAGAGGGCGAGCTGAGTGTCTGCGGTTGTAGAAGAATCTGTAAGAATCTTTGGCCTTGGCATCCTTCATGTAGACTAGGTCTGAGTCGATGCGCTTGGCATCAATGTTTTTTCCAGGACAGGAACAGTGGTGCGGATCTGTCGTCCAGTTGCGCTGGACTGCAACCTGTTGCTGCAACTGGTGTGGAGCGGTAACTCATGAGGGCTAAGCAGGGGTCAGGCTGTTTAAGGATATACTTAGCAGTCTGAACGGCCCTTTCTGCAGCTCCATTAGATTGTGGGTAATGGGGGCTTGAGGTTATGTGAGTGAACCCATATTTCTCCTTGAACTCTTGGAACTCTGATGAGGTAAACTGTGTCCCATTGTCACTGACAAGTACCAACGGGATGCCCCATCTCACAAACATGTGCTTGAGCTTGTTGATAACTTGAGTGCTGGAAGCGGTAGTGAGGGAAGCAATTTCAATGTCTCTTGAAAAATAATCAACAGCAACAAGATATGTCTTACCCTCGAGCACAAACAGGTCAACTGCAATTCTCTGCCATGGACCACTAGGCAGGGATGTTGTCATCAGTGGTTCATGTCTCTGTGTAGGTTTGTGCTCTCTACAAAAATCAAAGAACCAGCCCATCCAACTCCGATAGGTGACCTCTGACTGCATAGTATCCATGCGTTGGTGAGCTCCCTGCCATATTGCGGGGCCACCCTTTTCTGATAAACATGACCACTTTTTGAAGCTCAGCATCCTTTTGTGTAGCCTGGCGGATTTCCTCCAGCTTTGGTGACCTGATTGGTTTGCTAGCCACCATAGCGTTAACATATGCCTTTACTTGTGTTTCAGTGTCCAGAACATAACTGTCTTTCAACGGATGTCTGGAGAGTGTGTCAGCGACAACAAGCTGTTTACCCGGGACATGTTCAGCAGTGACATTGAACCTCATAAGACGCATAAGTAGTCTCTGGCATCTTAGTGGCGATTTGTCAAGATCATAAGAGTTGATCAATGGTACAAGTTTGTTTAATCGTTTTAGATCCACACACACCCTGACTTCATCCTTGTTGCGTTTTGGAGCAGGCACCAACCATGTTGGTTCGGTGACCTCCTCAATGATCCCAAGATTCAGCATCCGCTTTAGTTCTTTCTCCACCTTTGGAAGGAGGGAAAAAGGGACTCGGCGTGGTGTATTGACGCTGTATGGAATTGCCTCTTCCATCAGCTCAATTTTAACCGGCACACAGTTCAGTAGACCTATTTCCCCGAACACATGACCGGATAACAAATAGTCACCACTGATGGCATTGACTCGTTTGACCAGTTTCATTTGCTTTGCCACTGCTCTGCCTAATAGGTTACTGACAAACTGTCCTTTGATAACTGTAATCCAGTACTGGTATGTCTGACCATTGTGTGTGGTGGTAGCGAGGAACGAACCCACACATCTGACCTTTCCCCCTGGACTGTACACAGTTGATCTGGACTTGTGCAGTTTTGGTTTTTGCTGTAGACTGTTGAAAGTTGCATCTGTCATGACTGTGGTATCAGCACCAGTGTCAATTTTAAAATTCACTGGGCTACCATTCATCAGCAGCTCGATGTCCCAGTCGATATCTGAATCTGACTCTTCGATGACAGTTGACTTTGCTGTTGCTCTTAGGAACAGTTCACCAATAAAAAATGAATCCTCATCTGAATCTGTAGCAGCTTCAGCTCTGACTTGTTTTAGCATTTTAGTTTTACACACAGCCTCAAAATGTCCCATTTTGTTACACTTTCTGCATCTTTTATTTCGGGCAGGACAGTTTTCCTTTCTGTCGTGCATCCTATCACATCTGTGACAGTTCAGTCTATTCTCGCTGTATTTCTGTGCTTGTTTCTGCCGTGGTTTCTCATAGCTCCTCTTTGTGCTGCTAAACTGTTTCCGTCTCACCTCATTCACTGTAGTTTCCACGCGCTCTGCACTTTGCTGTTTCACTTGTTCACTGACGTGGAAGCTGGATAGCTCTCTCCAGAGTCAGATCCGCTTCCAGTTGAAGTTTTTGAGAAACCTCCTTATACATTATTCCAATAACGATTCGGTCCCGGATCTGCTCATCTTTCCCCGCGCCGAACTCACAGTGCTGCGCCAGCTCATATAAGCTCCGCACAAAAGCTTCAACCGTCTCACCGGCCCTCTGGCTCCTTTTGTGAAAACAGGCGCGGTCATGGAGAACGTTTCTTTTTGGAACCAAGTGTTCGTCAAACTTCTGCATCACTAAGGCGAAGTCATACTCTGGATGTAGCATATCCTCCGTAGCGGCGGGAAACACGAAAGAGCCGTAAATAGGTTCGGCATCTCTCCCCATAGAGTACAGGAGCGAATTCACCTGCACTTCACCGCTCTCCCTGTCGAGTTTCGACGCGACTCTGAAGCGGGAAAACCTCTGCCGCCAGGTCGGCCACTCCGCAGGCTGGGCAAAATCAAACGGCTCCGGAGGTCCAAACTTTGCCATTGCGCTCTCTCGGTAGGCGTTTAAGTCCTTAGTTCTGACACCATGTCATGAAATGAGGGAAGACGAAAGTAGCCATCAACAGTTGAAAAGTCGGGCTTGCTTTATTAGCACGAGCATTCCACTAACAACATGAACATACTCTTATTCGAACTCGTTTATCTCTATATAGTTCTTTAGTGCGCCCCCAGTGGGCAGGAACCCAAACTGCTGTTACTATTTGTGACCTCGGTTACCACCTTAGTTATGTGTGAAGAACCTTAAATCCTCTGGTGTTGTCTTTTTACCAGATCACACATAAGTTTGTAAAGAAAATGATCAGAGGCACTGATGCAAATTAACCACAGTTTATTTAATCACAATAATGCTAGGCATAAATAGTCAATTCATTTTATTGTACAATATCAACCACTTTAAAATCCTAAATCTATGCTGGCCCTGGAAACCTTACCGCTGATGACCAGTTACTTTGATTAAATAACATCAGACTGCTTGGGGGAGAAATAATAATTTTAAAAAAACAAATGTAACTGAATACACCTAGGTGTTCCCAAACAAAAACACACTCGCACAACAAAAAAAAACTCCCGGTGAATAACACAAAACAAGAAACTCCCCTTCCACTAGTCTCCTCAATCTAGATAAAACAGCTTGGAACCAGGGACAGCACAGGTTATCTACAAGCGAGCCTGGAGGGCTGAACAATAAAAACTCCCAAAAGAATAAAAAGTTTAATCCATAAATAACCAAAACAAACTAAAACCGAAACAGTAGCAGGCCAACCTGCACACAACAGAGAATAAAATTAAACAGATATTTTAAATAACCACATAATAATGAACTGCCTTTACCTTCGCTAAAAGCTAGCAGAGCTCTGTATATCCTCTCCAAGAGGAGGTTTCCTGCAATAAAATGGAGCCATCAGAAATAATTCTCAACCCAGCGCACACTTCATGTTAACCATACCTGCAGAGAAATCAGCCTGGACTCTCACCCTCTCAGCGATCTACCCGCTTTTAAATGTAAATACCGATTGCTTGCCTCCGTAATGAATCAGCTGCGCTAAAACAGCGTCTTCCTTATATGGGCAACCGGAAGAGTGCATAATGGACATAATGCCCCGGCTACATATAGATAAACAATAGTATCTCACAACAGCTCCCATCTTGTCTCCTCACTTATCTGCACATCAAGTTTTTCAAATTGCAGCACACAATAGTTGCTGCGTCTCTAGGCAACCGTGACGTTCAGGGTCCTTCAGCTCCCGCCACTACAGTGCAGCTGACCTTAATACTGCCTGTTTTATTTTGGCCATTATTGTCAAATTTAGTGTTGATATTTATTAAAGGCGCGTCTATCAGACAGTTCTGCATCAGATCAATACATTTAACGGCCAGATATGGGACGAGCCTGTATTTTAAGGGATGGGTGGCGGTCCTATTCAGGCTAAAGCGCCCCCTAAAGCGGGGCTAAAACGCCACTGTCTGAAACATCTGCATGGAAGAAACCGCTTGTTAAAGGGAAGAGAGTTTCCCCCACCTGTTTCTGTTCTGCTTTCATCGTCCTGATCTTTCCAGTCTGTTTGTTTTAAAACAGATTTTATCCGCTGATGTTTCTCTGATGCTGCAGTGATGCTGCAGCTGACCTGCTCGGGACATTCCTCCATTTTTAAGAGATTTCATCATCGATTGGCTGTAAATGAAACTACTTTCTGAAACCCAGAGCTAATAATCACCAAACACTCAATGATCTGAGATCTCAGCAGATCCATGATAACTGGTCGCTCTAAACCACCAAATATACAAAGTTCTGAAGCTTTCATTTATTATTTTCTGAATCAGAAAAATACATTTTATTTAGTGCATTTTGTCCTTTATATTTGTTCAAAACATTTTTACTTAGCTTTAGCATTGTAAACACTTGTGTTCAGTAGATGAAATAATATCTTTAAAGAGCCGAGGTAACCAGGGGAAGCGCTGGAAACCACTTCCTGGATAAATGTGGAAACAGAGCGCGAGACTCGGTTGAGTAATTTAAGTTTCTTTATGCACAGCTTGTGAAATATAGAGCTGACATGCAGGATTAGTTCATTTTCTCATGAAACGTTAGTGAAACATTACAGTTGGAGCCTGTTTGGTTTTGCAGGGATGATAAAGGTGGAGGAGACGGCAGACATGTTGAACAGGGAAAGAAAACTCTGAGGAAGGAAAACATTTGGTAAGTCTAAAAGACAGTTCACTGAAACGAGACAAGATCTCAGACAAGATGGTGCCGTTTGCTCAGATTTTAGGTTTGACCCGGTAAGTCAGGGGGCAGAGCCTTCTGGCAATCAGAAGGTTGCAGGTTCCATTCCTGCAGGATCTGTGGCTGCTTTGCCCTCTTCACTGCTGTTGTTTCACATCAGACAGCTGCAGCTGGCGGTGATGTTGTGTTTAAGGAATTCATGTTTCCTGTAGTCATATAATCTGTTTGTGTTGTAAAATGCCAGTAAATGACTGAATTTACTGACATCATCATCTTTTGTTAAAAACGATGAAGCAATGATGGAGCGTCGCTCCGAAATGAGAAACGAGGAATCAGAACGGCGTCAGGCTCACTTATCACAAACCACAGTTTGGTTTTGATTTGTTCAGTGAAATATTTAGTAACATTATACAAAAACAAATCCAGTTTTGTTCTCCAGCTGATTAAGTTTTTCACTCTGAAGTTCCCAAAACATTTCAGACAAGTTCAGTAGGATAAAGACGTGATGGAAGACATTTATAAACGGATTTTATTTTGTGTGTCAGTCATTTCTGAGAGGTTTTAGGTTTGGTCGTTCTGTTGTTGGATCCATGAACGATGTCCGAGATCTGCAGCAAGTTGCTGCAGCAGCAGGACGGTTGCTGCTGCAGCAAATCAAAGTTCCTGTTACTTCAAACACACCAGAAATCAAACCCAAACGTCCTCCAGTGATTCACTGAAGAGTCACGTTTTCCAGGTCCTGCTTCAGTCCCAGGAATATTCTCCAAAAATTCAACCAGTAATGAAGGTTTAACATCTAACAATAAAAGTTTTATAAATCATTCCAGGTAAAGTTTACCTGAATAAATACAAATGCAGCTTCAGAACAAACCCAGTCAGGCCAGTCAGGCAGATGGTGTGATAAAGTTTTCTGGAGTGTCATGATTGCATGAACGCCATCGTTAAACAGAAACGATGTTTCCAGAGAGGCAGAAGGTTTTCAGCTTCCTGCTTCTTTGTTTTTCCAGGCAGAAACGATGACGACTAAAGAGCTGCTGGTAGAAACCCTGGACCAGCTGAGTCCAGGAGGTTTCCAGGACTTCAAGCTGTTCCTGGTGGCAGAAAAGTTTTTACCTCCCAGCTCCCAGAGGGAGCTGGAGGCAGCGAGCGCGCAGGCTGTGGTGGAGCTGATGATGAGGATGTGCAGAGGAAGGTGTGTGGAGCAGACCAGGAAGATTTTACTGAAGATGAGGCGTCAGGACCTGCTGCACAGGCTGGCAGGGGTCAGAGGTCAGGAAGCCCCGAAGAGTTTCCATTATTTTAGTGTCATAATCTTAATAAAAGGTTTAAAAATAAATTTTTGTGCTTCTATTTTAGAGAATCCACCTTTAATCCAGAGAGTAAGTCACATCACTTCAGCCACATCAACACCTTTCAGTTATGAAAGATAGAAATATTCTCACACAGAACAAAACAGTAAAACATCGTCAAATATGCAGATTTTATCCATCCATCCATTTCCTGATCACCCTTCTCCCTCACGGGGTCAGGAGGTGCTGCTGCCTCTCCAGCTGCGTTCCGGGCGAGAGGCGGGTCACCTGGACGGGTCACCTGGACGGGTCACCTGGACGGGTCACATCTAACGACCCGCCGACCATATTATTTAGATTACATAATAAACAGAATATCTGATAGTGAAAGTTCATTTTATGCCAATAATAAAACTGCAGTTCTGTAAAACAAGCAGCTGTTTTAATAATAATAATAATAATAATAATAAGTGTATTATTTCCTCGTCTCTGACTCGCCAGGCCGGAGCCATGGCGTCGGTTCTGGAGCTGCTGATGGAAACGCTGTCGGCTCTGAGCGACGGCGGCCTGAGGGAGTTCTGGGAGCGGTACCTGCTGCTAGAACCTTCAGCAGCAGGTACCGCTCCCGGGTCAGCGCCGCTGGGGACCGACCCGGAGATCTACCTGGAGATCGACCCGGAGATCGCAGCGATCTCATTGGTCCAGAGTCACGGCAGGCAGTCTGTGGACGTCACCAGGACGATTTTGGTGGACATCAACCAGAACCATCTGGTCCAAAGTCTGCTGGACTGCAGGCCGAGACGCAAAGGTAAGAGAATAAAAGTGAGACGAGTTAAATCATTTCATGTTGATCTCTTTGCTTTTGTCCCAATCAGAACCACATGATGATCGTCTGTCAGCGCTGATCCACAAAGTGAGTAAAATCCTGAATGATGCTGGTTTAGATTCTCTATCTATGGGTCGGATGTTCAAAGGAAAGGAGACCGACTGAAACACAAGCCAGGATCACCATACCTCCTCTACCGTGTCATTTCAGCCAATCATTCGGCTTCGCTCCATGAATCTGCTCCTTCATTCGTGTGCAGCTCTGTGGTTCCGCCATCTTGTTTCTGGACGAAAACGTTTTCTCTTTCAATCCTTCCAATCAGCCAGACAGTGACCTGACCTTTGACCTTTTAGCTGCTGACTTAAGACAGACAGCAGATAATTCATGAATTGGATTTTTCTGTTCCAGTTTTTCCTGAATTACTGCTGAATAAATAAAAATAGCCAAAGTTAGTTGTTTTGTTCGAACGCTGAGCTGAAAGTTGCTTCTCTGACGTTTGAGCTAAGAATCCATTTTACTGATCATCACTGCATGTTTGCATCAGATGGTTCAGTTTACAGAATGTTATTGAGATTGTGCTTCTTAAAGGCATTTATTATGTAATAAAAACAATTAACTGCCATGTTTTTGTTATTTCCAGGCAGCAACGATGGCGGCTGTGAAAGAGCTTCTGCTGGAAACTCTGACGGATTTGAATCATTTAGATCTGGCAAATTTCAAGATCTTCCTGAACTTTGAGTCCTTCCAGAACAAATTTCCACTAATCTCATGGAGCGATCTGAAAAAGTCAAACTGTAGAGATGTGGTGGGCCTGCTGATGAGCACATACGGCCAGCGGTGTTTGGAGGCGACCCGGCAGGTTCTGACGGACATGAACAGAACCGACCTGCTGGAGAAGCTGCCGGAGAAAAGCTGGGAAGGTGAGCTGCAGTTTTTCATGCTGCCGCGATGTGACAGCGGTTTCCTGGATCTGCTGAGGATCTGCTGAGGATCCACAGGGATCCACAGGGATCCGCTCTGAGTTACATTAACTCTCAACATTAAAACATCCTGTCTGCTGGTTGGTTGGAGATATTCTGGTTCTGGTTTTCCAACATGCTGTGCAGAACTCAGAGACTTTATTGTTCCTCCAGTTGGTCGTCAATAGGAACTGTATTAATGATCATCACATCTATTTTCCCCAGAGAAAGTTTCTGTGGAGGAGCTTTGGCCCGGACTGATCCACAGAGTGAGTCATCTGACAGTCGGCTTCTTGCTTTAAAACGGGTTGAATGTGAAACATGTTAGTTTTTTCTCTGCTCAAAGGACATTTTGCAACTCGGTTCTTAAGCCGCTGTTGTTCAGGATCTGGAATCAAAACGTATCAAAATGTTTGAGCAAAAAACAATGATTTGTTTTTGCCTCCAGGTTGAAGCCATGGAGTCGCTCATCGCGCTGCTGCTGGAGACTCTGGGTGATCTGAGCGAAGAGGAGCAGCTGTTCTTCATCGCGTGTTTGGTCAGAGTCGGCGCGACGTGGCAGACAGACTGCTGGCCGTCAGAGAGCTGCGGCCCGCTGTGCTTGTGATGGTGCAGATGTTCGGCCTGCGGTCTGTGGAGACGACCAGGGAGGTTTTGAAACGGATGAGGAGAACAGATCTGCTTCAGGACGTCTCAGCTTCCACAAGACGGCAAGCAAGTAAGCAGTAAAGATGAAACCTTAAAGATGTTGGTTAATCTTCTGCTTCGGTGTGATGTCTGAAGCTCTGCCTGGTTTTCCCCTCAGAGAAACTCTCAGCGGACCAGAGAGGCTCTGCTGCTCTGCAGAAAGTGAGGAACGACTGTTTTCCTGCTCAGCCTTCGTTACAGAATACGTGTTATCACTTTGGCCATGAGATTCTGTTGATTTACAGACAGTCGGGACTTCAGAGGAAGTATTCTAATGAGCATATTTGTGTTGCTGTTTTTGTTGCAGGTGGCTCTGATTGCAGCTTTCAAACAGCTGCTCACAGAAATCCTGAGTGACTTGAAGAAAAAGGAGCTGGAGAACTTCAAGAAGTCGCTGCGCTCAGCCCTCAGCCTCTCTGGGAAAAACCTCTTGAATCCTTCCATGAGGCTGAGATTTGGACCTTCGGTCCCAAACGTGGTGAATGAGATGGTGGAGGAGTTGGGCCTGCAGTCTGTGAGGTTTCCATGCAGGTTTTACTGGACGTAAACAGGAGCGATCTGGCAGAGAGGCTCCTGGAGACCAGCTCAGGTCTGAAAGGTAAGTCACATAAATCTGGGTTCAGATGTAGCAGCATGCAGCCTGAAGGCCTCAGCTCTTCCTAGGATGGAGAACATCGGTCCTGATGTTTGAACCTGGAAACACCTCCAGGCCAACATAGGGGCCAACATGGGGGCCGTCATGGAGGCCATCATGGGGGCCAACATGGGGGCCAACATGGGGGCCGTCATGGAGGCCGTCATGGAGGCCATCATGGGGGCCAACATGGGGGCCAACATGGAGGCCATCATGGGGGCCAACATGGGGGCCAACATGGAGGCCATCATGGGGGCCATCATGGGGGCCAACATGGGGGCCAACATGGAGGCCATCATGGGGCCAACATGGGGGCCGTCATGGGGGCCAACATGGGGGCCGTCATGGGGGCCAACATGGGGGCCAACATGGAGGCCATCATGGGGGCCAACATGGAGGCCATCATGGGGCCAACATGGAGGCCATCATGGGGCCAACATGGGGGCCATCATGGAGGCCATCATGGGGCCAACATGGAGGCCATCATGGGGGCCAACATGGGGGCCAACATGGAGGCCATCATGGGGGCCACATGGAGGCCATCATGGGGCCAACATGGAGGCCATCATGGGGCCAACATGGGGGCCATCATGGAGGCCATCATGGGGCCAACATGGGGGCCATCATGGGGCCAACATGGAGGCCATCATGGGGGCCAACATGGGGGCCAACATGGAGGCCATCATGGGGCCAACATGGAGGCCATCATGGGGCCAACATGGAGGCCATCATGGGGGCCAACATGGGGGCCAACATGGAGGCCATCATGGGGCCGTCATGGAGGCCAACATGGAGGCCATCATGGAGGCCATCATGGGGGCCAACATGGAGGCCAACATGGGGCCAACATTGAAGCCATCATGGGGGCCAACATGGGGGCCAACATGGGGCCATCATGGGGGCCAACATGGGGTCCAGGACCCACTGAGGGGGTTAAAGGGACAGGAACCATGTTTTCGCTGCACCAGCATCAGTCTGCTGCCTCCAATGTTTTATTGATGGAAATGTTTCATGGTTTTCTTGTTATTCTTCATTTGAAATGAATTTAAGATCTTCGGATCATTCTGCTTTGCATTTCTTCAGGAAAGGTGTCCATTGCTGAATATGAGAGAGTGGTCATGCTGAACACGGTAAGTGAAGCGTCCTGTATTTCTGGAGCTTGTTGCTAAGAGAACAAAGTGAAGCAGGAGTCATGGCTCCAATTTCTTCCACAAATCATAAGATAAGAAAAGCAGGACCAGCACATTTCCTCCCTCCATGTTTCTGCAATCAGAGAGACACAAGAACAGAATCAGAATTTGAAGGCAAATGTTTCCTAGTTTACAGAAAATGAAGCAAATAAAACTTCCTGTCAAGATCCAGAGAAATAATTGAACAAGGTCTCAAACATTCCAGTTCCAGCAAAGATGGCTGTGAAAAGCGTTCTACTGAAGGTGATGAAGGAGTTGGGCCACAGCGACATCTGGAGGTTCAAACGGTTACTGCAGTTCACATGTTTCCAGAAAAGCCTCCCAGAACTCCCAGTCAGCGTGCCGTGGCCCATGGACCGGCCCGGCAGCGCGGATCCGGGACGGGAGGGACCGGCAGACCTGGTGGATCAGATGGTTTGGAGGCTGGGAGGGGAGTCTGTGGCTGTGGCCCAGCAGGTTCTGATGGACATGAACAGAACTGATGTGCTTCAGAATCTGGCCGGGATCAGATCCGGATCAACAGGTTGGACTTTACAGGAAGAATTATCAGTGTGTTTATAAAGTTATAGATTTTCAAAAGTTCCTCTTTTCCTTTTCCTCAGAGGAGTTTCAGTCTGTGTTGTTCCAGAAAGTGAGTAAAGCTTCATTTCCTCAGGTTTATTTCATTTAAAACATCTTCAGAGTGTTAAACTGATGTCTTCTGGAAAAGTGTAGAGCTAACAGTCGGTCCAAACTGCAGCTCCATAAAACTGAACCATGGAGACCATAAGCCGGTCGTGATCAGAACCGTCTCTCTACTGGAAGTCTAGAAATGAATAACTCTTCACACACTGGATTCCTGAAACAGAGACTGGACTTTAGCTCGGTTGGTTCTGCAGCGCAGGACATCCTCTGACAGACTTTGGGAATCTGATGGAGCTTGAGGAGGATTCGGGTCTCAGGTCTGAGCAGACAGTCTCTGTTTGGTTCTGTTAATTAAACCAAACGTCTCGTTAACTGAGAGGACATTGTTACAGTAAACTGTACAGGCAGAGAAGGCCTGAAAGTTCCCTCTTTTTTATAGTTGTTTTACATTTTAAGTTACCTGACTAAGGTGTTTAACACTTTCACAGTTTTCTCATTTGTTCAGATGTACTGAACCAGCAAATGATCTGCTTCACTCTGCAGGAAGCGAGTCTAACAGCAATGATGGAGAAACTTCTGGAAACGTTTGAAGATTTAGGTGAAGCAAAGTTTGAACATTTTCAGAGAGTCGTCCAGAAGAGCCTGTCCAGGAAAGCCGGGAGAAGAACGCCAGCCGTGGCTGTGGAGACGGGGAGGAAGCTGAAGCTGGCGGAGCTGATGTTGGAGCAGCTGGACGAGCAGACGCTGGACATGGCGGCGCTGGTTCTAAAGAAGATTCATCGCTCTGACTTGGTGCAGAAGATCTCAGGAGGAAACCCAGCAGGTGAGAGCAGATCCTGAATAAACCGGTTTACTGACGGATCCGTTACCAACAGCCAGGATGTTTTCATGTTCATCATCTGAGCCTCAAGTAACTTCAGATAAATGAAACTAAATAATCTGGTTGTTTCTGCAGCAGGACCTCCAGGGGTCACCAGGGGTCATGAGGGAGTGAAGGTAGTTTCTCAGGCTTTGATTTGTGATATTTATATTTTATTTATTAGCTCATCTGTGAGAAAAGTGAGTGAGCAGCATCTGATCTGTGTCCTGCAGCTGGAGTCCAGCTGCTGGACTGAACTGGTACCGGAGGTGAACCAGACAGAAAGTCCAACCTACAGGTGAAGCAGCATCAGATCTGCTGCTCAGGAAATGCCACAATTCAAATCAACGATTCCTCAACATCTTTATGTCAGCCTCCAGAGTGAAGCTGGACTCTTTGAGTGCAGCATCTCCGGTCTGCGCTGGTTCTGTTCAGAACGGGTCGTCTTTAGGTTCCGGTTCTGCTCCTGGGACGACGGACACATGGACAGGATGGAGAGCAGAGGATACCGGCCTGCTGGTCCTTTACTGGACATCAGTGTGATTACTGGGAGGATGGCGGCGGTGTTCCTGCCCCACTGGATCTGTGTCGGTAGGAGAACATGATGGTACCAAACCGTTGGACGCCGTTGATCCAAAACTTTTGCTCCTCTTTGTGTTTCCTGCAGACGACGTCCCTGAACCTTTGGAGCACTTTGCTGTCCTCCACATGGACCACTGTGGAGACGCTGTGGAGAAAGTCTCTGAGGTCTCACCGTCACACGTCAGACTGACTGAACCCGTTTTCTCTCCGAGGGCGGTTCTGATGAGAGCCGGCTTTCCTGTGAAAGTTTACTGCAACGTGCTGCTCTATCGGACCAACACGGCTTTCCTCACGCTGCATGTTTACCTCGTCCCACGCGACCCGGCTTTACAGCAGGTGATCATGGGTCAAACAGAACCAGCTTCTGAAACATCAGAACTTCATCTTGGTTTTATTTATAGGCAATGGACCAGAAGGAAACGTCTTCTGGATACAGAGTGATCCAAAAGCCCGACCCGGAGAAGTCCCTGAAAATGAACGAATTCTTCTTTCTCACATCGGATCTGGAGGCTGCAGAAGTTTCTCCTAAAGTGGGTTTGAAACGGGTTTAATGTTTCACATCCAGGTTCCCGTCAGATTGGGAACGTTTCTGCATGCAGTGAAGTCAGCTGATGGTACCAGAACACGAGTTCAGATGAGAATCCTTTGAGGTTCTGACCCGGTTCTCCTGTCTGCTTCCAGACGGGAATTAAACTCCGATATCCCAGAGGAAAGCCAAACTTCTTTGAGGTTTATGTTGAAAATGCAGACAGAACCTTCAGTCTGACACTCAGAGCCGACGGACAGGACCAGCCGGTTTGGGAATGTTCTGTTCGGAAAGGTCCGGTTCACATTCATTTCATATTCATTCACAACAAAAGGCTCTTTAGGGAAACTCAGCTGAAATATTCCTGTTTCAGATGAGTATCAGAGCAGCAGCCAAGCACAAGGTAAGCTCAGAAGTATTCATACCCCACTAGCCACACAGGGGAAGTGCAGACCGTTTGAAATGTTTGTGAAAAATCTGAAGGTTTTTCTCCGCAGAGATACAGAGTGTGGATGAACATCTGGCTGAAATGATGCAAAGAGTGAGTGAGAGATTTTTCTGACATTGCACAGCACTTTGAGCAGGAAGCAGTTACAGATCTTGTGAATGTTTAGGCAGCGATCATCACATCAGACAAGGAGATGCTTTTAAACCTGATGAAAGACCTGAAGCAAGAGGAGCTGAAAGGCTTCAAATGGTTCCTGAAGAACAGGGACGTGAGCTCAGGCTGCCCACAGATCCCAGTGAGCCTCCTGGAAGAGGCGGACGCCTCCGACCTGGTGGACCTGATGATGAACACCTACAGCCGCGGGGCTGTGCTCCTCACCCAGGACATCTTTAAGAAGATCAGCAGGAATGATCTGGTGGAGATGTTTCCAGGCACCAGCTGTAAAAGGAAATGTAAGAACTTCTGAATTTAATGGAAGTCACTGATTTCCACATGCTGCTGCATGGATGAAGTTTGTTTGGGTCGGCTGCTCTGACCTTTGGATCATCTGCTGTCTGGCTCCACAAATGAGGCTGATTCCTTTATAACCAGGTGGAGGAAATCACTTTACAAGTGTTTTAGTGTTTTCACCTTAAATACCATGCATGTTAGTATTTTATGTTATAATCAGAAAGTCCCATGTGGATCAGACTTTCATGATGCCCATGACTGACCCAGCTGGGGGTTCTGGTTCTGTTCTGTTTCTGTTCTGGTGGGAGGACGTCTGTCAGGTTCTGTCAGGTTCTGACAAACATCATTCATGTACATTTTGTTCCTGCTGCTTTTTATCTGCAAGGAAAATGGTTTAGTCTCACATCCATGAAATAAATCATTAAATTACAGAAACTTTTAACTGCATGAGAACAAAAATGCTGCTGAAATGTGCGGCACAAATAACATTTCATTGATTGATTGATTGACAAAACAAGAACATTTCCTCTTTCTGCTTTTCTTAAAAGTTCTCCACTTTTCTGTTGAGTATTTTTGGAGAATGGTTTTGGTTCAGCGTCTCGCACCGTTCTGCAGATATTTATCCTGAGAATCGATCTGTTCGCAGTTCATCTGCGTTTCCTTCATGGAGAATTAAAATTCCCAGATTAACAAGCCGGATGTGTGAGACGTCCAGATGAGAGCAAAACTGCATAAAGTTACTATTGTAATGTAACTGAGGCTTTTAAATCTTTCTATGTTTCTGCTACAATATTGTTGGAAACTAAACATGGTTTATTTTCATTTGGGTTTGATGTTCCACTGAGTTAAACAACCAGAGGAATTATGACAGTGTCAGGTTCTGTGTTTTTTCTGTGTTTTTATTCCAAATTTCTGTGTCCTGAGTCTCCTCGTTGTCCTGTCTTCCCCTTGATTGTTCCCAGGTGTCGTTCCCTTGATTACCCTCAGTGTATTTAGTCCCTCCTGTGTCCTCTGTTCCTCGTCGGGTCCTTGTCAGATTGTCAGATTGTCCTTGTTGTGTTTACCGCCTGTATGACCAGTTGCTACCGGCGTTGAGCCCTGGCTTCCGCTCAGCCGTGCTGCCTGGCCGCGGACTCTGTTCACTGTGTTTTTGTGGACTATTTTCATTAAATATTTCATCATTCACCATATCTGGGTCTCCAGCGTGCTGCCTCACCACCGCCACCACACCACTTCATGACAGACAGTTTACTTTGTCTCCTGAAAATAAGTTTTCACGCCATGTTTGTTTTGCTCCAGTGGAGACGCAGGCAGGAGGGCAGTCAGGGGTCAGAGGTCAGGCTGAGGTGAGCTCAGTGATCGGCTGCTGCCAGTTTGGACCGCAGCCTGACCGGAGCTCCTCTGTCCGAACCGAGGAGGCTCCTGAACTTTGACCCCACGGCGGGTTTAGTCACCAGACCAGCAGTGAACTGGTTTTACTCCTGATGGGTTTAATATGTGGGACCAGTTTGATACCTGATTTACTTTACATGTTATGTAATTTATTTGTAACAAAAACTGAATTTAAGGAAATAAAATGAAGTTTTTCTCCATCAGATTCGTCAGTTTTCATATCAAGTTTCAGAACTTGGTGGTTTTTGTTGAAGCTTTTATGTTTTTATAGCGTCTTGATCGGAAATATCATCTGCAGATGTTTTCAATAAAGCTTACAAAAAAAAAGTGTTGCATTGTTTCCTCCTCTGAAGTGAAACTTCCTCAGGCTCCTCCCCTTCTTTCAGTGTCGGTTCGGGTTCTGCTACGTTGGTTCGGGTTCTGCTCCAGAGAAATGCCTCGCAGCGTCAAGCAGCTTCTGGCTGAAACCCTGGAGGACCTGAGCAAAGACAACCTGGACAAGTTCATCTTCCAGCTGCTGGACCGCAGAGAGGAGCCGCGGGTCAGACGCTGCAGGGTGGAGGGCAAGAGCCGCCTGGAGGTCGTGGATGTTCTGGTCTCCACCTTCACGGAGGACCAGGCTGTGGACGTCACCGTGGAGATCCTGAGGAGCATCAGCTGCAAGCAGCAGGCGGAGAGACTCAGTGAGTGAAACGAGCAGAGACAGAGACCAGAGACAAGAGACCAGAGACAAGAGACAGAGACAAGAGACCAGAGACAAGAGACAAGAGACAGAGACAAAGACCAGAGACCAGAGACAAGAGACAGAGACCAGAGACAGAGACAAAGACTAGAGACCAGAGACAAGCATCGAGATTTAGAAACGAGTTAAAGTTCAGAGAAACCAAGAAAACAAACGACAGACCCGATATTAATTCAATAAATGCATTTTACTTATTTAATTACATTAAAATGTTTCTTATTTACCTACAGAAAACAAAATGTAACTTATTTTCACGCGAAGCTTTAAATGAAACTACATTTTAAGTCCCGATGATCTTTAGCGCCCTCTAGTGTCTGTTTCAGCTGCTGCAATGTAATGGTTTATTAATGATGGAAAACAGTTTGATAATCAGGGCAGAATCAAATGTTTGACCAGGTTCAAAATGTCTGCAGAATATCCAGGCAGGCGGAAAAACTGAAAAACGTTTGTAAAGATTTTCCCTGAAATGGTGACGGATTGTCTTACATGAACGTTTCTGATCTGTTTTCTAGTCCAGGAGAAACAAAGTGGATGACGGCGGCTGCTTTTACGGTGAGTTTCTCTGAAACGTGTTTCATTCTTAATGAAACTTGAGCGTTTCCACAGGAACCTGATGTTTGTGTTGCAGGAGCTGCAGATGATGGAGGTGAAACCAACGTTTCTGCAGAAACCAGAGGAAGTTCAGCTGCAGAATCATTAAAATCATAAAGTGCAATGAATTTACTTTTTATGATGTTTTCCTCCAACTTCTGGAGATAAATAAATGTTTTCATCTGGAATAATGTGATGCTGGTGCTGGGAACGTTTCTTTGTTTAAATGAAAATAAAAGCATATTTTTACAAACATTTTGTTCAACCTGCAGTTTTGTGTTTTTATTGTTTGACTTTCTTCCTGTTGCAGCCTGAAAACGTTGCCCTCTCTGCATGCAGCTGTAAAAATGGCTGCTGTTCCCAGGCTCTTCCTCCCAGACAGGATCGGCTGCTTCCTGTGTAAAAATGTTTTGTTCCTCCTCACAGAAACTCGTCCCGTCTGTGACTAACATTCAAAGGAGGGAGGAGTTCATAAAAACACTGTAAAATTTCACACAGTAAATATAAAATGTTATAAATGCCCCGTCCTGTAACCTGCAGTCTGAGCTTTTCCCATAAAACTGCTGGCTGTAGATGAAACGACCTTTGACCTGAGCCAGTTTTCCAGGATGTGTCCTGCAGATGCACGAAGTCGTGAGGCGTTCAGGAGCGTTCAGTGGAAGGTTCATCAGAAGAGAGCGTGTGTGTGTGTGTGTGTGTGTGTGTGTGTGCGTGCGTGCGTGCGTGCGTGCGTGCGTGCGTGCGTGCGTGTGTGTGTGTGTGTGTGTGGTGTGTGTGTGTGTGTGTGTGTGTGTGTGTAGGTGGTGTAGCTGACTGTGTGCCAGATGTTTATGACAGGACTAACAAAAGAGGCGTTTTTTTAGCTGCCAGGTATTTTATGTTCTGATGGAACCGGTTAGTCGTTCATTTGCTCAGTGGATTTTCATTTGTTTATTTTTGAACTTCTGCAGCTCAGTGGGGAATAAACGAGCAGAAAACATTGTTAAAATAATCAATACAGGATTAATACATGAGTAATCCAGTGATTAGTATTGTATTAATTAGTGGAAAAGGCTGATAGGAAATAATAGTGTTTACTGTTCATGGTTCATCTTGGAGAACATGCTGTACATTTCCTGTAAAGCTGCTGATCACATGACCTCACAATGCAAAATGCCCGCCCTTCCCTTCTCCACCTCTGGAGACCATATGATGTTCAAACATCCAGATGTTCAAACATCCAGATGTTCAAACATCCAGATGTTCAAACATCCAGAGTCATGTGGAGATCTATCATGTCTTTCTGTCCAAGTTCAGAGGAAACATGTCAGCCTGCACATGCGGGTCCACTAGGTGTGTAACATGTTCACAACGGAAGCCTCCATGGTGCCTTCAGGGACCTCCAGCTGCCGGAAAACTGTTTTCCAATAAGAAAAAAGATTCAGCGGCACTTTCAGAAACATCATTATCTTTAATCATGTATTAATTATGTATCAATCATGTATTAATTATATATTAATCATGTAGCTATTAATTATGTATTAATCATGTATTAATTATGTATCAATCATGTATTAATTATGTATTAATTATGTATTAATCGTGATTATCAGAGGAATTTGCCATTTTCGTGAATTTCAGGAAGTTATTGTCGAAACTTCATTTTCCCACAACACCGAAACGCGTCACGTCAACAGAAACGGACTGGCGTGAGAATCTGACATCGGAACATCTGGATCATCCTGAGAAATGCCTCCGAAAACGGCCAAGAAGATTTTAAGTAACAAACTGGAGGATCTGTCAGGAGACAACCTGAAGAAGTTCCGAACAGAACTACTGGACCGGAAGGACGGAGTTCGGACCAGCCAGGTGGAGGGAAAGGACTTCATGGAGATTTCAGACGTGATGATCAACGTTTACTCGGAGAAAAAAGCGCTGAAGGTGGCGGAGGAGATCCTGAGAGAGATCCGCTGCAATCAGGCCGCGGACGATCTGGGTCAGTATCTGCTCTGGTTCCGGACCCGCTGGGTCAGTATCTGCTCTGGTTCCGGACCCGCTGGGTCAGTATCTGCTCTGGTTCCGGACCCGCTGGGTCAGTATCTGTCTGGTTCCGGAGGGAAAATCAAACATTTCTCTCGTTTTACGCTCAAAATGCAACATGTTGGATCCAATGTGGTCCAACAGAGACAACCGGAACCACCGCGTCTCTTTTTTACTTTCACTTTGACTTTCACTGCTGATCCAAACATCCGAACATCAGTTTCCTTCTTTTGGCTCCAACTCAGTAGAAACTAAAGAAAAACTAAAACTCTGAACATCAGCATGAGAAGCTCAGCAGTTTGGTTCTGACTGCCTGGAAGCTTCGGGTTCGGTTTAGTTCTGGATCGGTACTGGTCCAAACTGCAGCTCGTGCGCTAAAGTGGCGCATTTGGACGGCTCTGTCTGTCGGAGCCAAACATCATGCAGAAACATCCGGGACATTTAATATGAATATATTTAATATATCTAATATCTAACTTTATGGAAACAATCAGACAAAAAGCACACACACACACACACACACACACACACACACACACACACACACACACACACACACACACACACACACACACACACACACACGCACACGCACGCACACACACACACACTGAATTTGGTTTTGTTCTTATTCTCTGATTTTGTATTTTTATTTTTTGCAGTTGCAGAAGCTGAACAAGCAGGTTTGTTTAGTTCTGCTGGTGGATCCAGTGATGGTGAGTCATTATTTTTATTCTTTTTAAAGACAGGCGTCTGGGTTGTTTGGGTTCTTTGTTTCAGCATAAAGCTAGAAAACATGAAGCTACGCAGGAATGTTGGTGCATAACTTACTTTAAATCACATCCACTTTATTCTGAAGATAGAAATCATTTACAGAATGAACTGCAGCAGATCTGCGTGTTTCTGTGGTAAAGTGTTCACACACCTGTGGTGCTGAAAACACAGCGATACTTTTCTGCCTTGTGAGAAGCAGAAGGAGAACCGGAGGCTGAACAGCAGACGGGCCGGCCGCTCTGGACCCAACGGGACATTTTGACCCCAATTCATTCACCTCAGACCTCAGACTTCATTTGATTAGAGAATTAAAACATCATAATATGTTTTCTCCAACATATTATGATGTTTCTAAGTTTCTAAGTTATTTAAGTGCCCAAAGGCCTGTATTATTATTATTATTATTATTATTATTATTATTATTATTATTATTATTATTATTATTATTTTCATTTATAATAATAAATGAAAATAATTCATTTATTTAGTGGTATAATGGTGCATTATACCAAAATGCACCATTTTTAATTTGTAAACAACATTTGATTATGAATAAATATTATACTTGTTCAATCAATTTGTTGGTGAAATCTAACAAACATATTTCTACAAATCAGCAAAAATTTGATCAAAGAAACAAAAATTCTAAATTCCAATTTTCACCAAAGTATCAATAAGTCCAAAGTAACAAACTGGATGTCAAAAGCAAAATGCTAATCAGCTCTCTATTCGTGTGTCAGGCTGTAAATGGTTTTACTGGAAATGCTTCCTGGTTCCAGACGCTGCATGTGGCAGGAAGTCGCTCCTGATTGGTTCGTTAGAGAGGATTTCTGTCAGATTGTGTGAACCTGGTCAGCAGGTGGAACCTGCTGGTTCTTCTTTCTGAACTCAGTTAAATGAGGATGAAACCGGTTCATCCTCATTTTGACTCCTTTAAGACGATTTATTTCTCCTCACATTCCTTCACGTTCCTCCCAGAAAAACTTCTGGATTAAAGTGAGAAGCTGTCGAGTCACAAGCTAAACAAACTCAATAAAACTATAAATGCACATCATCTGAATATCAGAAGGAAATGAAAGTTTAAACAAAATGTACAGAAACATGAAGGGGTGAAACGGTTTTCCGACTGATAACCACAGCCTGAGATTTAGGCTGTGGATCAACTAAGATCAGCGCAACGCTAAACCCTTCAACAAAGCTTCACAAACAATATGAAATTGCAGATTGGACACTGAACATGTCCTGTTTTCTGTCCTCAGGGGAACATTTTGTGGACAGACACAGGACTGATCTGATCCAGAGAGTCACCGCCGTCCCGGCCGTTTTGGACAAGCTCTTAAAAGCCAAAGTTATCCAGGATGAGACGTATGATGAGATACTGGCGCTGCGGCCGTCCCAGGTCCAGATGAGGACGCTGTACAAATATGTGAAGGCAGGAGGCCCGGCGGCTAAGGATCTCTTCCTCAAAATCCTGAAGGAGGAGCAAAGTTTTCTCATCGATGACCTGATGAAAAAATAGATCCATCTAATTTAACCGAATGAAAACATTAAAAGCATTTTTAATGTAGAAGAATAAAGAGTTGCTTGTTTTGTTTCTGTGGGTTTTATCCTCTGCAGGAGAAGCAAACCTGTCACAACAGACCAGATTTCTCCTTTTCTCGCTTCCTGTCGCTGGCTGCCAGAACATTTTATGAAACTTTAGCTTCTGACACTTTTCCACTCCTTAAAGCTGTGCAGTGAAACGTTGTGGGGAATCATTTTAAAATCATTTTGTTTCCTGGATGTTTTCCTCGCAGCGTCGCTCTGGCGGCTCTGCAGCTTTGATTTTTGATTTTAAGTCTCTTTGATTTTCACTGGTTCAGATTTTCTTCGTGTTGAAGAATAAACTAAATATTTGCATTACAGCTGCATGACTTCAGGAATATATTTGATTATGAAACTATAGCTGAAAATTGTGACATTGATGATATTTGCATTGCCATGGAGACACTCCAGGTGTCACCAGGTGAGTCTGTGTCATTGATGTGCAGAGCATGAACAGAAGACTCATGAAATATTAGATTTTTTAATATTCTATTTTCCAGTGCAGCTGTGATGATTAAGATTCACTAATAAACATCGATACATTAATATAACGTCACATTTTCTATCTGGATTTTAACAACATAACAGTAAATTCAGCTCAATCAGAAACTAAAAACATTTTCAACTAAATTTAAATTTTGTTTAATTTTAGTTTAGATAAAAGCAGAAATGACAACATTTTTCTTCCAACACCTGCAGAAAGAAAAATATAAGGAATATTTTCCTTTTACCAAATTATTTTTTTTACTTAGCCACAAACTAAACGTATTTTATTTTTGTCTTTTTCCATCAAAATCTGGAAAAACCATCAAACCTTTTTCAAGTAAACATCAATTATGTGTCTTTTCTCATGAAGCATTTTAAACAGCCGTTGTACTGAAATTATAATCTTATGGTTTTAATATTTCCTTCTGATTGAAACAATATTTGTTAAAACAATTAATTTCTGTGAGGAATGCACATGTTTGTTGCTTCAGAGATAAATGTTTTCTACATTTTTTGAAAAGATGATGGTCTTTCTGGAAGTGCAGCTGGGCTCCTTCCTGTTTATAACAACAGGTTCAGTGTAGCAGCAGACACTGAAGGCACCACAGACAGAGGTCCCTGAAGGCACCACAGGCAGAGGTCCCTGAAGGCACCACTGACAGAGGTCCCTGAAGGCACCATAGACAGAGGTCCCTGAAGGCACCACTGACAGAGGTCCCTGAAGGCACCACAGGCAGAGGTCCCTGAATGCACCACAGACAGAGGTCCCTGAAGGCACCACAGGCAGAGGTCCCTGAATGCACCACAGACAGAGGTCCCTGAAGGCACCACAGACAGAGGTCCCTGAAGGCACCACAGACAGAGGTCCCTGAAGGCACCATAGACAGAGGTCCCTGAAGGCACCACAGACAGAGGTCCCTGAAGGCACCACAGACAGAGGTCCCTGAAGGCACCACAGGCAGAGGTCCCTGAAGGCACCACAGACAGAGGTCCCTGAAGGCACCACAGACAGAGGTCCCTGAAGGCACCACAGGCAGAGGTCCCTGAAGGCACCACAGACAGAGGTCCCTGAAGGCACCATAGACAGAGGTCCCTGAAGGCACCACAGACAGAGGTCCCTGAAGGCTCCATAGACAGAGGTCCCTGAAGGCACCATGGACGCAAACAGCCAGTTGGACCTCCAGTCTGCAGACTGGTCCGTTCAACCTGAACTTCAGCAGGACGGTTCTGCAGCGTCACGTTTACTGCTGGAGGTCAAAGGTCAAATTGATCTCCTGCATGGTTCATGCTCAGTGAACAGTGTGTGAACCAGCTGGCAGCTGCCGTGGTTACAGTGTGAACTACAGGCCGATGCTGCAGAAACACAAACTGGAACATAAATAAATTGTAAACCTGATCAATGCAACCAAGCAGTGAAATCATCCAAAATAAAATCTGCTCAGATCGCAGTTTTCTAATCCAGAAAACCTTCATGTTGTTCTTTAGGCGATTTGTAAGCAGTGGCGGAGCTAGACTTTTTTTCAAGGGGTGGCCAAAGGGTGAGCAAGGCTTTATCAGAGGGTAAATATACAAATGATGAATGAAAGGAAACAAATATTTTCTCACACACACACTCAAATTAAAATGGTTTATTTAACTAAGATTTGCCATGATCAAACAAGACGTTAAACGGCTCTATGGAACAGTGAACATGTAAATGTAAACTCAGAGCCCAGAATATGACCAAAAACAAATTCTCATAAATAAATAAATAAAAATAAACTGGTGCTTCTGGTGTGCAATAGGTTGTGCTGGGTGGGGGCAGTTCAGTGCCATTTCCTTCTGCTTCACTGTCTTCCTCCCCAGAGTCTGAATCTGTATCACCCTCATCTCTCTCTGGAACTTAACTGGAAATGCATAAACAGACACAATAAAAAATGCAAAAAGCATCATGCTGACCTTTAGAATTAGGCTTATTGGATTTTAATACTTAATATTTTTTCTGGCAAATCTTTGCCGATCTCATAAGTATTATATTTTAAAATTACCATTTCCAGTGGGGTGGCAGTAGGGGTGGCCAGGAGTCTGTTGGGGGTGGTAAGTGCCACCCCCCACCCCTCTGGCTCCGCCACTGATTGTAAGCAGAGGAAATGTGAAGTGAATTCATCTGCAGACTCTCAGCATTAAGCTGCTTTAGAACGGAAAACGATCAGAAAGTCCTGACTTATCCTTTTACTTTACAAGTCGAGCTTCTTCCTGGACAACATGATCATATCCAGGCCATAATCCCTCCAGCTTCTTCTGACCCGTCGACATTAAGTTCTTGTCTGGCTGTTCTGGACCTCTGAGCCCGTTTCGCTTCCTGCAGCCGATGTTTGCAGCAACATGCCAATAAGTTTAATGAAGAAAAACTATTTTTCACTATCCAACCAAAATCATCATGTCTTGCAGTAACTTTCTGTCTGAAGGTTTTAATTTACAAGGTAAAACTGTAATTCAGCTCAGAACCTGTGGATGTGGCAGAGTTCTGGTTCTGGACGAAGAGAAGAACCGGAGTCAGATGTGAGGATCTGGATCTGGATCTGGATCTGGATCTGGATCAGGATCTGGATCAAGATCTGAACCTGGATCCGGATCTGGATCTGGACCTGGATATGAACCTGGATCTGGATCAGGATCTGGATCAGGATCCGGATCCGGCTGAGGCTTGGTTTCAGGAGGCTCGCTGTGGCATGGAAGCAGGCAGGCGGTTGACGGTCTGGGTTTGGTTCTGTTGAGTCCAGAGCTGACCGAGTTCTCGGTTCTGGTAACCGATGAGTTACTGAACCAGGATCCGGTTTCCTTAACCTGAGAGAGCAAAGCATGAGGTGAGTCCAGAGCTAATGATGACGATGATGATCATCTTCCTCTCTGTCAGATTATCAACCAGCCAAACTTTCCTCATAAAAACAGCAGAAACCAGTAAAATCTAAATAATTCAAAACTGCAAAAAAAAAATATTTGGGTTCAAAATGTGAAACAAGATCAAAGTTTATAATGTCTAAAGTTTAATGATTTTCTTTTTCAGTAAAAACCTCATTTATAATAAACTTGTAAAAAAATCCACAATTCATCAACAAACAACCAAAATATGTTCAGTCATGTTCAGACATCATACTTGGTGAAATTTCCTTGTTTCTAGATTAAATGTTTCCAGTAAAAACTTCACAACCTTTTATCAAACTGACCCAAATGAATCAACTCAACGTCCAGTTTATTCCCTGTGACGCTTCAGAACCGCCGAATCCTCATCCAGAAAACCTTCATGTTGTTTTATTGTCATGGAAGATGCAGTGAAATAGGAGGAATCAGCCAACAGCGCCACCTGCTGGTTCAAAGATATAACAAACCTCAACACAATTTTCCCCTGAAATAGTTTTATTTACACAAATATTCATCAGAAACTCATCAAAATATTTTCTCCCGGTGTCTGAACCAAACACCAGGTTGTTCTTCTCTGCAGCAAAGGAGGTAGAAATGAGTTTTGTATCAAAATAATAATAATAATAATAATGCACAAAACTCTACCAGATAGTCTTATAAACAATATTTACTCTTGTCCTCTGGGCATCGGGTGAAATGCGGTTCGGAGATCTTCTCTGGTTTGAACAAAGTTTTTATTAAAAAGTTGATTTGTTTGTTTTGGTTGTTGCTGTTTCTCTGAAATGAAGCGTCTCGACATTTCCTGAAGCAGATTTATCCTCTGAGGATGTTCTGGTTCTGCCAGAGTTCCCGGCCCGGTTGGACCCGGTTGGACCCGGTTGGACCCAGTTGGACCCAGTTGGACCCGGTCGGACCCGGTTGGACCGGTTGGACCCAGTTGGACCCAGTTGGACCCAGTTGGACCCAGATGGACCCGGTCGAACCCAGTCGGACCCAGTTGGATCTGGTCGGACCCAGTTGGACCCGGTCGGACCCGGTCAGACCCGGTCAGACCCAGATGGACCCGGTCGGACCCGGTCAGACCCGGTCAGACCCAGATGGACCCGGTCGGACCCGGTCAGACCGGTCAGACCCAGATGGACCCGGTCGGACCCGGTCAGACCCGGTCAGACCCAGATGGACCCGGTCGGACCCGGTCGCCCCAGTCAGACCCAGATACCCCAGTCGGACCCAGGTGGATCTGGTCGACCCAGTTGGACCCCGGTCGGACCCGGTCAGACCCGGTCAGACCCAGTTGGACCCTGTCGGACCCGGCCCTCACCAGGGCCCGCCGCTGGGCTCGGCCGGCGCCGCCGCCCCGGACGCCGGCCATGTCTCTGTGTTTGAGGGCGAGACGTTCAGGCTGCTCAGGACTTCCTGCGCCGTTTTTCCCAGCATGCCCTGCATGTCGCAGACGAAGCGGTAGACGTAGCGTTTGCCCGCCGTCTTGTGGATGATGTTCTTGTGGTAGTAGTAGCGCAGGCCGCGGCTCAGCTTCTCGTAGTTCATCTTCGGCTTGTTCTTGCACTGACCCCAGCGCTTGGCCACCTGCAGGACAACAAACCTCAGAATCAGGATTAATCCTGAAAATTCAGCCGAATCCGAAACAAAACTGATGAAAATAATCATCAGAAAATCATGGATTCAATATCCAAACGCTCCCAGATCTGTACTGGTGATCCACTTTATGTTAATAATTCAAGTTTTGATCTGAGCAGAAAATGTTGATTTGAACTGATGGGATAAATTTGTTAGTCTGGAGAATCAGGTCAGCTGGTCAGACCAGGTCAAAGGTCAGCTCTGAATCAAACGCTTTCCTGCAGTTTCTAACCCAGTTTTTTTATTTTGTGTGTATTTATTTATGTTTTTATTTCAGTTTCTGAAATCCTTTCATCTGATTTATCACCAGAGGCTGTTTATCTATCAATATTTAATCAATAACTTGGAATAAAAACAAATAACATTTTCATCAAAATCCACTTTTCATCTGTTTTACTGATTTGTTAAAACTTTCATTCAGATGTCTGTTTTTTAAATTAGAAGATCTAAAAAGGTCGGAGGAGAACCAGAACCGAGCCCAGGTTCTGGTTCCGGAACTGGTTCCAGAACCAGAACCTGGACTGTTCCTCACCTCGGTGGGATCAGACATCTTGAACTCCCATCCGTCTCCGGTCCAGGAGATGAAGGTCCTGCAGGCCGAGTCCAGAAGAAGCTCCAGTAGAAACTGCCACAGCTGGATGGGACCAGAACCTGCAGAACCCGGAAGGAACTTTAATGTTTCATCTCTTCACCTGAAATCATTCCGTGTCCGATTCTTCAGACCTGGATACGCTGACATTCCTGTTACCTGGCCCTCCCTCTCCGGCCTCTGCAGGTGTGTGTTTTTGCGTTTGGCCACACGGGGGCAGTAGAGCTCTGCAGGCTGAGGGTTGGAGGGGCAGGATGATGATGATGATGGTGATGATGATGAAGATGATGGAAGAGGAGGGTGAAGCGGGGTGCAGGAGAAGCTGGGAGGTGAATATTCAGGCCAGAAGGAGGAAACCTGTCTGCGTCCGTCTGAGTCGTAGAAACTCTGATCACTTTGATCTGAAACAGGGAAAGATCCGGAGGTCAACGGGAATACCGGGAATACCGGGAATGACGGAGGGCTGGGCTGTGAGGAGGCCGCCTGAAAAGTCACACTGTAAAACATTAACAGAAATATTTTCGTTTATTTATCCTGTCAGATCATTTACAGTCATATTTCCACCATGTTATTCATCTTGAGTTTTCAAACTCAATATTTAGCTTTAAGTTAAATACTCAGTTTGAATCTAAACTCATGTGAATAAAATATTCAGATTTTACTTTCATACATGTATGAATATTATGGTGAAAAAAAACTGTAAATGATCTGACAGGATAAAAAATCTTTTTTTACAGTGAAACTTTCCCGAGGCCCGGAGCAGAACCAGGTCTCACTCTGGAACGGGTTGGCTCCTTTTCGGGTCAGAAACGGGCTGTGGCTGCCCTCCAGGCCCGGGCTGAACGGTCCGGCCTGAGGCAGGTTCTGGTAGGTCTGCAGGGCCTCCTGGTACCCAGCTTGGTTCTGGTCCAGAGTCAGACCGTCTGCGGATGAAGGAGACGGTCAGACACCCAAACAAACCTCAGAGGCAGCCAGTCGGCGCTGCGCGGTCCGGCCTCACCGTCCGGGTACAACCAGGTAAAGTCCTGGTGTGAGTCCAGGTTGAAGAGTCCGGTATCGGCGGAACCTGCTGAGGAAGACGGTCCCATCAGAACATTCAGAGTCGGAGCAGAGTGGACTGTTCACAGGAAACGTCTGGAGGTTTTACCTTTGCTGTGGTGGTAAAGACTTGGAGCTTTAGGCGGTTCTGAGAAGTACTGCTGCTGCCCGAAGGCTTACTGTCCAACAGGAGGGACGGGTCTTCACCGGGACAGTCTGGAGGTCACACACACACACACACACACACACACACACACACACACACACACACACACACACACACACACACACACACACACACACACACACACACACACACACACACACACACAGTTAGATGTTCTGGTCCAGACCCTGTAAGCAGCAACATGAATGAAATCTGCAGCATATTTTCCCTGCAGCTCAGAGGCTCAGTGACTTTGCATTTCAGAAAGATTTGAGGGTTTAGTTTCATATTTTAGTAAATGAAATGAAGCTGAAAGAACCAAACAGCATCAATCAAACTCCTGGTTCTGAATGAGATGCATCCTCCATCAGTTTTCAACTCTCTCTTCACTTCCAACTGTAAACTGTGTGAATTCAGCTGTTTTCCTGCTCGGCTCCCATCAGCAGGAGGAAACTGATGCTCTGAGTGTTGATGACATGAATGGATGGAGACGCTGCAGGGAGGAGCTGAGCAGGGAGGGGAGGAAACGCAGTGATGGAGGGAAGGGAGGAGGAGGAGAGAGGCAGGACTCTAAATCTGTTGGAGGAGGAAATCTGGAGGAAAGGATTAGGGACGACAGACAGAGCGAGTCTTCAGCCTGACCGGCCGGTCCGGCCCGGCCCGGCCCGCCCCGGTCCGGGTCAGGGTCTGGCTGAGGCCCTGTAACAGACGTGATGACACAGACTGCAGCACTTCCTGCGTCCTTCAGCTGCTCAGCTCAGAGGAAACACCTCAGATAAACACGCAGAGCCTTCCTCCTCCTCCTCCTCCTCCTCCTCCTCCTCTCCTCCTCCTCCTCCTCCTCCTCCTCCTCCTCCTCCTCTTCCTCCTTCTCCTCCTCCTCCGGGTCAGAAAGGAACCAGCAGAACCTGAACTCACCATAAAACGCAAAGTCGAATCCTGCAGGCACTTCCTGCGTGCTGAAGTCCTCAGTGTAGAATCCAGTGTGGCAAACCTCCATCTCCTCTCCCTGCAGGCACAAACTGATCCTGAAGTCTGAAAATGTTCCGTTGGGACTCAGGAACCAGAACCAGAACCAGAACCAGGCTGAACCGGGATCTGACTGGAATGAAGAGCAGAACGAACCTTTAGTTTGACGTTGTTCCCCTCCGTGGCTCCAGGTTCCCGAAACGTTCCCAGAAGCGGCCCAGCGGCGGTGGAAGCGGAGCTCAGCCTGGTGGTCTGGGGGCTCCGGCCGCTTATAAAGGCGCGCGGCGCGGGGCGGGGCGCGGGCTGCGGCGCGTCGTGACCTGCGGATCCGAGGTCTGTTTACGTCAGAAACCCCCTCCCCACACACACACACACACACACACACACACACACACACACACACACACACACCACACACACACACACACACACACACACACACACACACACCAGCGATCAACGTTCATTCATAAAGATCCGCAGATGAACTTTTTATGACGTGATTCGATGTTTCATCATTTATTTAACGGGAAGAAAAGCGATAAGATATTAAAGCATTAAAGCATCATCAGCTTTGGATTTTATAAATTTATGAGGAAACATTGAAATGAAAGTTTAGAAGAAACAAGAGCAGCAACAGCGGAAACGAATAATCATTAAACTCTTTATTTATTGCTCATTTTTCAGATCATCTGAAGAGGCGCAAAGATGCGGAGAAAAAAACTGTTTTCTGTAACTGGTTCATATTTTTCTATTTATTGTGATACAAATAGTCTGTGTGTGTGTGTGCGCGCGCGCGCGCGCGCGCGTGTGTGTCTGATTCACAGCTTCTGCTAAGAGACATTTCAAAGTATTAGGATTATATTTGATCGTCTCCAATATATTTTGTATATAAAATACAAAATATAGAGAATAAAAGGATATTTACTGTTCAATATGAAAAAACTGAACATTTGCACCAGACAACAAACTGAAGATGATTACAGGTGATTCTGCAGGCTGAAGGCTTCCTGTGGTGTTCCACACGGCTCTGTGCCTGGCTTTAAACATTTCATACATACAGGAACCATCAGACTGAAAAACTTTATTTGCTGATGAAGAAAAGATTTGGTTCAATTTAAAACCTGCGATGTTTAAAGGTTTGTGGAGGAATATTCATAAATTAAATGTCATAATTACAGAAACAGAAAATGAAGTTTGATTATCAGTGAGATGATTTAATTCATTAGATATGATTAATTAGACATTTTTATGTATATTTGCATCTTCATATGGTTGCATGAAGTAAAGATTATTTATAAAACACAGTTTTTAAATTCTCTTTAGAGAATAAAACGTCTGGAACTGATGGATTATTTTATTTATTATGTTTATGTTCTTCATGAATAACAAATCTGATTGAAAAGTATTAAATATTTCTCTATGAAAGAATCTGAAAAATCTCAGACCAATAATAATGGATATGTTTCTTTTTGTGCTTCTGAAATCGATGATTCTTTTTCAATCTTCATTTTATCAGGTTAAAAAAACTTGTAGTCCGACATGATGACGTCTGATTTATTTGTAATTATTTTCCAAAAATAGAAATGAAAGAAACATCAAAGACTCTTTCAGCAGAAATGATTTCTCCAAGTCAAAATTAAAATATTGAGAAAGCAGCAAATCTCCACTCAATTAAACCCTAAAGTCAGAATCCAGTTCTGACTGAAATGATTAATTAGTAACAAAAAACCGAATTAAATGTTTCGAAGTTAAATTACAGGTTGGTTTGATTTAATGTGTGTGCGTGTGTGTGTGTGTGTGTGTGTGTGTGTGTGTGTGTGTGTGTGTGTGTGTGTGTGTGTGTGTGTGTGTGTGTGTGTGTGTGTGAATGTCTTTAACATGTTTCAGCTGCGCCTGTTTGAAATCAGAGCGTTTTATAATGAGGTGGAGGCCAAGAGCAGAAAAAAATCCCTGGATCTTTTAAAACCATTTGACAAAACAATGGCCCGTAAAACACACGCGCGCGCGCATGCACACACACACACACACACACACACACACACACACACACACACCCCCCCCCCCACACACACACACACACACACACACACACACACACACACACAGAAGGAGTTGCTGCAGAAAGTCAGAAATCACAGCGTGAGTGGCTGCAGGAGATAAGGCTGACCTCGGAGACCTGAGTAAACAAACAGTCTCACGTTCTGCTGCGCGCGCTCACGCACATGCGCACACACAGCCACAGGAACACGCGCACGCGCAGGGCCAGCCAGGCTGCATCTGGAAAAGTGCGGCGGAGCAGCATCGTGCACAGACAGGAGTCGTGACGAGGAGAAAGAAACACGAGGGGAGAAAATCCACAGCAAGAGATAAAGAAGCAAAAAGACTGAGAGGAATCTGTGGGACAGGAGAGGACAAGACAGAGGACAAGAGGACAAATACTAGGACAGCAGGGGACTCGGTCCAAATCAACTCATTTTAATTTTAATATTTTTACAGTGGCTGCACAACTGCAGTGCAAACAGAAAATTATGTATATAAAATATAAAGTTCCCTTCTCAGCCACCGCGGGTGGTTCTGATCCTCTGAGCTCGGGTCTCTACCAGAGGATATGTAGATCTAGATCTATATATATAGATCTATAGATCCTTGGGTCCTCTACCAGAGGATATATAGATATAGATCTATATATATACATCTATATATATAGATCTATATATTCTCGGGTCCTCTACCAGAGGATATATAGATCTATATATATACATCTATATATATAGATCTATATATTCTCGGGTCCTCTACCAGAGGATATATAGATCTATATATATAGATCTATATATATGGTCCTCTACCAGAGGCCTGGGAGCTTGAGGGTCCTGCAGTATCTTGGCTGTGCCAAGGACTGCTGCACATTTCTGGACTGAGATGTCTGATGTTGTTCCTGGGATCTGTTGTAGCCACTGCTCCAGTTTGGGGGTTACTGCCCCGAGGGCCATATCTATATATCTATATCTATATCTATATCTATATCTATATCTATATCTATACATCTATATCTATCTATCTATCTATCTATCTATCTATCTATCTATCTATCTATCTATCTATCTATCTATCTATCTATCTATCTATCTATCTATCTATCTATCTATCTATCTATCTATCTATCTATCTATCTATCTATATCTATATATATATATATATATATATATATATATATATATATATATATATATATATATATATAAATGGTAATGGCAAACCAACCAGACATTGTCGTAGTGGATAAACATCAGAGGAAAGCCATTGTGGTAGATGTAGCAATACCAAGTGATTGCAACATCAGGAAAAAGGAGAAACTGGAGAAATACCAGGGCCTCAGGGAAGACCTGGAGAGGGCCTGGAAGGTGAAGACCACAGTGGTGCCTGTGGTCATCGGGGCCCTCGGGGCAGTAACCCCCAAACTGGAGCAGTGACAGATCCCGGGAACAACATCAGACATCTCAGTCCAGAAATGTGCAGCAGTCCTTGGCACAAGATACTGCAGGACCCTCAAGCTCCCAGGCCTCTGGTAGAGGACCATATATATAGATCTATATAACCTCTGGTAGAGGACCCGAGCTCAGAGGATATATAGATATATATAGAGATCTATATATAGATCTATATCTATATAACCTCTGGTAGAGGACCCGAGCTCAGAGGATAAGAACCACCCGCGGTGGGTGAGAAGGGAATTTATATATATATATATATATATATATATATATATATATATATATATATATATATATATATATGTAATATAATATAATATATTATATTATATTATATTATATTATATTATATTATATTATATTATATTATATTATATTATATTATATTATATTATGTAAGATTAAAGCAGCAAAGCTGATGTATGAACAAGAGGTCTCACTCTAACATAAACTGCTGGTTTGTCATGTATCAAGTATTTTTGATAAAATAATTTTTTTCTCTCTTTTTATTATTCGTTCTGTAAATTCTGTGTTGGAAATCTGCCCGGTAACAGAAGGTCCAGCCTTGACCTTGGTCTCTGAAGTCAAAGTGAGGCTCTCAGCCTCGCAGACGGGTCCGTTTGGTTCTCCTCTCTGTGGCTGCAGCAGCTGCTTAAATCCTGGCAGCATCACGGAAACTGGAGCAAACTTTCCTCCTGCTGGTTCCGGATTATTTTCCTCCTGTGACGCATCGGCTGCAGAAACGAATCTTTAACGGGAAGCAATGTTCCAGACAGAAAAAATAGGAGAAGAAAAGAACTTGGAAAACTACTTAGGAGAAAAACATCAAACAAGTAAAAGCAGGAAATAAACATTGAGTTAAAGTTTTCATCGGCAGACGGCTCTTCTTTTTCCTTCCTCAAATCCAGACTTTCCTGTAAACGGGCGAAGTTCTCTGGATCAAAAGTTCTCCAGATTTATTTTTGGACTTTAAGTCTTCAGGGAAAAGTAACTAAAATCCTGCAGAAACAGAACCAGTTTGATCCAGTTTGATCCAGTTTGATCCAGTTTGATCCAGTTTATTAAACTGAAATTTCCCCCCAAAATAGCAAAGAACTAATAAAATGTTGGTTCCATGTGGAACCTGCAGATGGTTCCTGAAGAAACACGGAAATGTTTCTGTTTCATCATTTTAGAGCTGCGTTGCCATGGAAACAAGCAGGAACTAATCTGGAATGAAAGGGTTTTGTACCTGACCTTTGACCCCTGTTGCACCAAACATTACAAGCTCACCGCTGGCTGACATTCTGCACCGTCAAACTTTCATAACACAAACAATGAAACAAAACATTCATCAGCCAAACTGAGACTGAAGTTTTTTCATCAAAATGATGATTTTCTCTGTTAACTCAGCTTGACGTTGGTTTTTATAGTTATGCTTATTTACTTTTGTTCGGTTTGATTTCTGGTCGTGGCGTCCAGCACTTTGGTCATCGGTAATGATTTTACTGTGGAAGTGAATGAATTGCAAAATGAAGAGCAAAAAATTCTCATCACAGAGAAAATCTGCACAAAATATAATTATAAAGTAGAGATGAGAAACTACAAGAAAAAAATGTAATCAAATTTCAGGTAAAGTATTGATCTTACCAAAGGATTCAATAAAATAGAGACTTGAAATCAATATTATTGATGGTTTGGTTCAATCAGGTATTTTATGTCATTTTCATG